AAGATCCTATAATGACTCATCGTGAGACTTGAGGGAGAGTGAATTTCAAAAGCCAAATATTTCAGGAAAGTCGGTACATTTTAAATACAACACAGGAATATAAATTTTGAATCTTTGTTTTAAACAAACGTTTGTGTGTTCGTTGTTTCTGGTTACGTGGGACAAAAAAAATGACTCATCTAAAATATTTTAAATTATTCGAAGATTATTTAAATTATATTTAGAACATTGTATGTATCATGATATATAAAGTAACACACATTGGTCGGAAAATATCCGGATACGCTAAGGATAAAACCGTTCTCGTGCAAAAATGATACTCGAGAGTCGCTTTTCTGGTGTACTGCTGATATGTGTTCTAATAGTCCATCATTAAACCGATTCACCCATATTGTTTCACCAGGGGTGTTAATAATTCGGCATAGTAATCCTGTGGTGAATGGCGTACCACCTGCGCGGGCCAGGCGAAAGCCTGAAGCTGAAAGCACATCTAATCTTTATATCACGCTCCTTCCCGCGATCCATCTGTCGACTGCATCCGCGCACCGACATCCTTCCCCCGGTCACCGTCCTCAGCCATCGGCGGAAAGCGAGAGCAGCAGCGAGAGCGGCGGCGGCGGGCAGCCTCGGCCTCAGCCAGCTCGGCCTGCTGCTGCGGCTGCTTCTGTCACGCTCCGCGGCCAAAACTGTTCCGGGGTTCGAGCCCCGCTGCAGCCGCTTCCTGTGCTCCTAATTCAGCGGCGCTCTCCCCCCTACCCCGCGATGTGTATCTCTCTTCACGGCGCGCGGACCCCGTCCGGGTCCGACCGCCCACTCCCCTTCTTTTTTCCTCTCTCATCCGCGCGCACTCGGCGCTTCTTGGCCCAACTGCGGCCAGGTGAAGCCGGTAACAGCGAATAAGGAGTTCACAAAGCGAGTGGTGTGCTCGGTCAGCCACGCTAGCTCGCCACTCCGTCCGCCCCTCTCGCCTTACCCGAACCGTAAACGTTAGATGCATTGCGAGTTCCATACTTATTTTAGCTTTACATGACACAATTTTGCTTTCAACTCCACTCCTAAGTGCGTTAGAGGTGTCAGGTCGTTATTCATTTCTCTATTCTACGTTTGGCTGAAACTGCTCTAGATGTTTCAGAGCTATTCTGGAATAAGCATAAAGCATACGTGAAATTAGTGTATCAAATTATTAGTCCCCGCTCTTCTCTTTATGAATCTGTCTCTCTGCGCGAATATTCAATGACTTTCACTAATAAAAGAAGAGCTTAATAATCTGAAATTTGTATTTGACAGTCTCCCAGTATCTTTCACATTATCATTGTGCAATAAGAGTACCCCTTGTCTCACACGCGTTTTGACAATAGTAAGTAGATATGCCTTTGATATATTTCCACCCAAGTACTTAGTAATTATTATATACGTATAGGAAAATGAGAATGGTGCATTATCCAACGATATAATCAAATTGTTAACGTAAAAAATGGAAGAGATTTGTTTCCGTTAATATTGGGTTCCTCCAAATTTGAGAAGATCCACCCATTCTTAATATATGCATGCTATGCGTTTATTTTAGGAATCACGCGCACGGAAACCAAATCTCACTCATCTGTTAATCACTATTATCATGATTCACGCAGCTACACACTATAATCTGAATGTTAGCTACCTGCCACATAAATCACAGTGATGCGAGTGCGTAACTCTGATAAGTAACACGAAAATAAAATAAATATCTTCTCGCTTTATACTTTTACGTAAATATACACATCGTGTATTGTTTTCAGTAATATGTAAACAACGCTTTTTTTCATAAAATCGCCTTTGTAGTCTCTTCTTGGAAATCTTAACATCTCACAATAAGCATGATACTGACACGTATATGCGACAATAATATTGAGAAGACGTGTCTATTAAGGCCGACACATTGTACATTTCCAACATACGTTGGGAACTAAAGAATCATCACGCATTCTGGGAAGTGAGTGAATAAATGAATGCGCAATCCAAAACATTATGAAACCACATAAACACGATGTTCAAGCTCAAACTTCACAGATATGAGCATCGCACAGATATGAGTATCACTAATTACTGTTAAATCAATCTCACAAGATTCGCTGAATGCCTGAGTGTGACGATATTTAGCAAAAACAAACCAGAATTTTTAGAAAATTATCACTAACAATACTTAACAAACTTTAGAACTTCCTTGGCACTTTTAATTCCAGCAGCTTGTGCAAAATATGGCGAAAATAATTTCAGAAACAGAAGAAATCATTATTTTAAAATGTTTTAAAACAATGTTGAGCTAATTGGGCAATTTAGCAACTACTGTAAGAAGTTAAGAGTTTCACATTCTTCACGAACGATTCTTCGGAAACTAAATCTTTCGGCGCATTTTCTCTTCGCCATCCAACATTAAGAGAACTCTCTCTTTCTGAAAGCAATTTTAAGTTTATTAAAATACATTCTTCTCCATCTAAGTTTCGCCTGTCAAACAATGAAAACGAAATGTTTTGAATTAGTGTCTCTTTCATAACAAACAGCATATACTTTCTTCGAAGGTTGAAGGTTGAGAGGTATTTCGGGGGAAGAAATGGGACAATTTCAGCTCGGATCCTCCTAAATATTTTTAAAATAAAAAAAAAAATTATAAGCTTGAAATTAAAAAAAAATAGTTTATTCTTACTCGTGACATTTTATAATCTGTTGCGACCAATAAATAGAAAATATTTTGAAAAAATATCGGACAGAATTGCAGAATAAAATATCGGACTAGGAATTGATAGTCACCGTGCTCCCCTTCCCCTGACCACGCCAGTGGCAGCTCCCAGCGTCAAACGAACCTCTTTTCAACTTGCACGTAACTCCTTGCACAAGGAGAGGAAGGAGAGGCAGGCGAGAGCTGCGCTGCCAATGCAGATGCACTGGGCGAGGATCGTCGTGCCTGAGAAAGCACGCTTTATGCAGATTTTTTTACTTCTGCCGTAGTGGGCTTAAACTCTTCGGCGCGGGCAGAGCCCGGTCGTTCCGCACAACGACGTTATACCAGAGATCCTCCCCGTCACGGCTGTGCACTGACCGACGCGCAGCGGCCTCCACCACATTGTCGTTCTGCACTTTCCGCGACTGCTGTTATTCCAGACCTTTGACGAGGTAGAAGAAATAAGTTCTGAATGGCGGCAGATTCAAATGAGGAAATTATTAACGCTAAAATGACTAATGACACTAATAGATCTGTCACATAAGTACGTGTTGTTTTCTCCTTTTTTTGTCCTATGATAAAACTAAAAGTGTCCTACCATAAGACAAAAACAGGAACAAGTCATTTATTTGAATTTAAATGCTCTACGAAAAGAGAATCATGTGTTACATTTACTTGACTAGTCAAGATAATTAATAATAATAATAATAATAACAACAATAATAAATTTCAATGGGTTGGTCACATGCAAAGTAGCTAACATGTATTTGTTTTCTTTGACATACAAAATTAATACTTGTTATTAGAATTAGGTATACTCGTACTTATTTTGAAAAGGCGTGTCATTTATGTAGTAGAGTATAATAAAAGGGATGTAAGAAAACTAACTTCGCAAAGTCTTATCTTTTCCTTTCATTCAAAAGGAAACAAACATTTCTTCAATGAATTAAAGTTATAATTCAGAAAATACAAGCACCTTGTATGAAGGGTACTAGAAAACTCGGTGACTGAAGTAAAATCTTCTCTTTCATATTTTTTAATATCCCTTATAGTGTGTGTTGTGTTTTAAACAGAAGTTTTAAGCCACACTAGCCCAATCCAATGAGAAATGAAATATTAAAATGTTCAAAAAATATAGTATGAAATATCAGTTATATTATTATTCTTCCCGATCATGATAAAAAAATGGAAACATGTGTACTTCTTATAACAAAATAAAACAAACTTCTATCACGAATTTCGGGTTAATTAATAACGATTAAATCCTCTCATATGATTCATTGCACTCCTCTACCGCAAGTTCTGTGCGAGTGAATACTGTTTCATATGTGCACAGAGCAAAATACAGAGCTAATCAACCATCCATCTCCCAAATCGTCGTCTTAGGCATTGTGTTGCAGGACGACGCGTAAAATTTGTAAATTAGATACATTTTCATCATAAATTTTACGTTACACTGTTCTGCCCCCCCCCCCCCGCCCAAATCAACATTTGTTTGTAATATTACTTAATAATTTATTAGGAATAAGAGCGTTGTTCATTATCAGGCGTTTAATTATTAACATTTAATATCATTATTTTAAATTCTATAAAATGTATTACAGCCTGATGAACTTTTTTCGAAACGTCTTTTTTTCAATGAATGGATAAAATTTACCAAATAACTTATTCCACAAACTGTCTCTATTTAAAGAATAACATTTGAATAATCATAAATCAAATTGCACAATCATCAGCAGTACCCTAACAAACGGGCCATGGACCACGCACGATCTTTCCTTCATCTTCCTTTCTTTCCCTTACCTCACCGCTTACTCTTACATGCACTACACTACCCCACATATCGGGAGCTTAGAGCTTGTCTCGGCTGGGGCGGTGCCCCTCTGTTGGGGGGAAACCCCGCTAGCCGACAGGAGGAGGAGGTCGGCGCCGCACCTCACCATCCAACGGAGCGCGAGATCATCGCCGCCTTCAGAGGGGGGGGGCAAGCACTACACTTACGGGACTAATGTCCTTAGCATTGAAATCGCTAATCAATCGGACTACTCCTGAATCACAACAATAACTTTGATTGCACGTCCCGCAATGAAAGTTATTTCGCCCGCCTGCCCGTGGGTTCGCCCGCAGCTCTCTGACGCGCGCGCTGTGTGTGTGTGTTGCAGGGCGGCGCGTGGGGGCGGCCGCGGCTGCGGCACGCGCACCGCAAGTGGCGCTGCACCAAGTGCCCGCCGGGCTGGGGCGTGCTGCAGGCGTGCTCCCCGGAGGCCGACACCGTGTGCGAGCAGTGCGCCGCCGGCAGGGCCTACTCGCCGCACCACTCCTTCCGCAGCCCCTGCTGGCTGTGCTCGCGCTGCGGCGGCGGGCTGTTCGAGGCGCACCCGTGCCGCCCGGCCGCCGACACCGTGTGCGACGACTGCGCGCGCGCGGGCGTCGTGCCCAACGACGACTTCTTCCGCAAGTGCAACGTCACCCTCCCGCCGCCGCTCAGCTTCCCGGCCAACTGGCTGCGGTAGGGCCAGCCGTCGTCGCGGTCGCCGCCTCCGAGTTCAGCTGCACTGCGCTGAGGAGATTGCTGCGCCTCCCAGGCCCTGGATTAAGAGGTCGCAGTAGAAGATCAACCCTCCGTTGCTGGAATCTTTCTCCGCGAGTCACGCGCGCGCTTCGAAGATCGGGCGCAGATCAGGCCTAAGATAAACTGGCTGCAGTAGACCAACCACTCTTCTGACACTGTCTTCAGCGAGTTTTACACAATGCTTCTGGCATCCGTTGCCCGAGTTCAGCGTCGCTGTGCCGAGGATATTTCTGCGCCTCGCAAGCCCAGGATTAATTGGTGGCAGTAGGAGATCAACCCCGCTTTTCTGGACTCCGTCTTCGGCGAGTCTGGTGGACTTAAAAGATTTTGTGTCGCTCAGACCTAAGATTAACTGGCAACAGAAGATCAATCTTTCTCCTGGAACCGTCTTCAGCGAGTTTTACTCAATGAGCTGTGACCCAACGCTTCTTAGCTTCCCGCTCAACTGTCTGCGGCAGGAGCGGCGATAACCTCTTCTAGAAAATCTTCGACGAAGTGGGCCAAGAGCTTTATTCGAACAGTCATCACAGCTTTGCTTCTCAAGCAATTCCACTGTGCTGAAGGTGTTTGCCCTATTCTGGAATCGTCACAGAGTCGTGTAGGAAAGCTATATTCCGAAGTTCTTCACCCACACCTTCTGGCCATCTGGTTGGGATATCAGATGACCATCCCTATTCAGAAATCAACACCGAGTCTTAGACAATGAGCTGGGTTTCAATGATTTTTGACGATAGTAAAACGAAGTATATTCACTCTATAGCTCCATACAAAGTGGAAGCTGCAAACGTTCCAGTAGGAATTTAATACGAGGTTACATACGACTCGTTTTGAGAATGCTTACGTAAATAGACAAAAATGGCATTCGCTCCAACTACTTCTGCTCCATGTTCTTACAGTTTAGCGAACTCTACGTCGAGGTGAAATCTGAAAAGCATTTTGGAATCAGTTTTGAGTGAATGAGTATGCCTCTACAGGACTTCAAAATCGTGTGAAAACATCGGCAACTCTGGTTGACCTTGTAATACAGGAGACTTTAAGGTTTAGTTAAATATGATTGGTATCTGTAAATGATGAAAGAGAACATGACGCTGCCGCAAATACACCGTCCCTCCCGAGTGGTATGGTTGTCCTCGAAGCAATTCTGTCCCGTGTTCTATGTGCGGGTTGACTTTAAACACGCACCTCCCAAATCGCAGTTTAGTGGTCTCCATCCTAATGTGCATTACATGAACTCCATGTGATTCTCAATCGGTTAATGAAATTGCTAGCCAGTTGATCTTACAGTTCAGGCCATCTTGTAAATAAGGCGCTAAGTAAAGGGTTTCGAATGTTCGAAATCATTTGCCTAACTGTCTATTAGGCATTTGAGTGAACACGTTACCACTCATCGACTATGCAATTAAAAGGGAAGACTCGAAAGAGTCGGACTCAGTGTACAAGATTCAAAAACTCATTCAATCAGAGGGCTGTTAAAGACTGCGAACGTTTTGGATTACTGCCTGGCTTCACTTGAAATAATTACTTACGATAACATATGTTTTAGTGGATGCACTGTTCAGAATGAATATAGAACTCCAGTTAGATTCTACCAATGCTTTTTGACAAGCAACCAGAAGCAGTGAGCACCCGTGTTGCTTTCCGCAGCCTACATCTTTTGTCTTCGCTTCTTGACTACTTCCCTGCCATGGATTATTCTTATTTTTACAAAGATTTCCGCTTGTAGGATTCGCTAATTCCACACCTCGCGTTTATCGTACTTCAATCATGAGCATATCGCTGTACGCCTACGAACACAGCGCCATACTAGTTTTGCTTCGTTGAATTCCATGCGTAGCCATCTTGTTTCACCGCAAGCTGTCGTTAGTTTCTGGGAACTAATACTCTTCATTCACGCGACTTTTACGGTTATTTTTCCTCAAAATATGAATACCGACCCTGCTTCTGTAGAAATTACAGCGGGCATTAGAGCTTCACACTAGCCTCATAGTACAAGTCATAATGAAAAATGCAATTTAATTTTACCAAGTATTCAGTTAATTGTTCTCTGCCACGATTTACGAAAAGAGGTAAAACGGAGAAACTAGCAAGTCTAGAGCATAAGAACTCAGTTACCCCAAAACTAAATAGTTTTTGTTAATTGTAGGTATACTATTGACATCATGCCATTAAAATATTACCCATGCTTCATTGGTGTATGAGATTCGATATTCTCGCATGTCTTTCTGGACCTTCATTCGTGATGACTGGAATCTCCAACGGACAGTTGATAATTGATCAATTGCCAAAGGAATGAAGAGGACAACAGTAAAAGAGTAAGGCGTCTACTGTCGAAACGAAGAGGCTAAATGTTTATGAACCGTGTTACCCATTACGAGAGTCAAAGTGATGATGAACCGTCAGTAAAAGGAGGTAACAATGTGCTTAAGTTGACATTGACATCAAACAAGGAACTTTTCTTTGCGTGTGTAAATATCTGTACTTAGGTATTGAGGATGTAGGAATATAGTGGACTAGTAAACAATTGCTACTTTTTATTTTTACAAACAATGAGCTAGAAATAATTTACGAACGATTGTTTCTAGTTCAAATGCAGATACCAAAGAGTATTATCATGCCAAGTAACGTAGAAAACTGAAGATAAGAATGATGAACTGCTTAGCATATTTTGGAAGAAAAAAATATTTGTGGATGTATATACCTGAAATGTCTCATCAAACAAGAAATATATTACGTTTGAGTGGACTTGTGCTGGTCAAGTGGGCATTGTACAGTTGTCTGAACACATTCTGGAATATTTGTAAATTTTTTATACAACACATTGATGTTGAAATTAGGTATTAATTAATATTTTTTGTAACAAAAATCAAAAGATCAGTGAAAAATAGCAAAGAAATGTTCGATGTTCATTCAAATAATGAATCGGATAATCTCATCTAAACTGTACCTAATTTTCCATAGCATCAATAAAGGTAAAAATTAACGAAATGCTTCAATTTCGATGTTAAAAGGTAAAAATTCAAAATTAATAACTAATGTATGCTGTAAATACATGTTATAACATCTAATTACTGCTCTTCATTGATGAAAAGTAATCATTACATTTATAATAGTGAATTTACCTGCCTCAATTGTAGAACTGCCAGAATAGTTCAACGTAGTCTTTAGTAAATGATCTGATCTGAAAAATAGGAACATTGAATCATAAAATTGTGAAGAATATGAAAGTACAAGAGTATCCGAAGCATGTGAGGTATTTTTGGAAAATGTAGTGATATACATGTACAAAATTATTGTTTCAATGATATATGAAAGTCAATAAAGAGAATTGTTAAAAAATAATTTCTGGATATTTTGTTTCATTACAACAATCATCCTTGTAATTAATATAGGAATCATATTGGTGCCTTAAGATACACAACAAAAATGTGAGTATGCCTAATAGTTAAGACATTTATTGAGAGTACTTGAGAATTGAAAAAAAAAAAAAAAAAAAAAAACCCTCGCATGAAGCGGTCCGGACTCGATCTTCCATGAAACTTTTCTTGAGAGTCACAAACATATTATAAAATATTTTAACTCTTGAGGAAGCCAAGTAACGTTTTCCATCCGAAAATACAGAATGGGGCAAGTAATCTTTGCAATATTATTTAACTGTCCTGGATTTCTTATGAGGAACAGAGGGGGTTTTGGAGCGGCAGGGCGCCAGCTTGTTGGGGTGCGAAAATTGAAAAATTATTTGTATACTACAAGATATTGGATTATTTTCTGCGTTCTTACGTGCATCAAGAAAGGCAATTCCGAGACAAAAAATAATAAAACTAATATTTTCACCTTTGATTAATAAACATCATTTGTTACTATTAGAAACAATTCAGTAGACTTCACTATAGTACATGGTAATGTTGCACAAACAAATGTTTACGTATTGAACATCTTAACGAACTGATATCTTAAGTTTAATATCAAACGGGTATTATTTAAAATATGAGTTTACTGCAGAGCATTGAAGTACAGACTACCAGATACCGCCAACATTTAAATCGTGCATCTGAATGGTGACGATGGCAGTTGTTGAGTGACTTGCGCTATTCTTTCTATAATTTTATATTTGATTGCTTTTCTGAATTCATTCACGTACTAGTAACTCCGTACCTCCACGTGCCCATGCAAGAACTCTCACATGTTAAACCCCACACTATTCCCTATCCTATTTTAAGAGGGAAAGTTATAAACGAAACTTATTTATTTGTATAAAAATATATAAAAGTAACATCCAATGTACTAACAAAATATCTACAAAAAAAACAATGCAACTGTTGAAAATAAATTTTCAATAAAGATTTATTCAGTAATATAGATAGATTTCTTGGAAAAATTCACAACACTTCCTTGAAAACATCCGAAGTAATTATTCAATATTCTTTGACAGTTAGCTCTTCGTGACAGTCATGAAAATATTTTAAAACGTTTTACTCTTAACAAAGCTGCGTAGCTGAACACGTTGACTTGAAAGTATCACAGAATCACTGCTGATCACGAAATTACTGGTACAGGTAAAACAGAAACCACACAGAAGCCCGTCTTCATTCTTTGTACACCCACATGTTACACACCCACAAGCAACTGTTAATAATACTTCTAGTTATTGCTGCGAGAGCGAATCTTGAATTAATAATTATGGGAATAAACGTCAGTCATTTGTTACATTTGACATGAGTATTTAGAGGCGTTTTTTAAACAACTCCGTCATCTTTTTTTTAAGTTAACGTGCAATTCGTCACTCTCTGTGGAATTCTCTTTATTAAGAGACCTCATTTATAAAGATCGGTTGCATGTGAGAGCCGCAAAAGGTATGTATACTACTGAAATGATAAGGGAGACGATTACCCTTGGAAACAATAATATAATACATTCATACGTAACAACCGGCGAAGTTACTCATGAAGTTGGGTATTCTGAAAATCTTACTTTTTTGGTAAATCAGCTCCATTCATTGAGCTTATCGTTCAGCAAACGCATTAATGACCTGTTTTTTTAACTGTCAACTCTGGTAAGTTAATTTAGCAGACACCTCTGGATAACCAGTGATCTCAAATTACTGAGCCTGATATTTCCCATGGCATTTCTTAGGAATGTCTTCACTCTCTTTAATGTAATCATATTCCTTTCACATAATTCTGTAGATACAGGGAACGTTAGACAGAATTGTATCAACTGAACAGTCTCTTGAAATGTCTTTTGGAGACCGTTGTCCAAGAAATACTTCAGCAACAAATCTGCAGGCATATATTTTGCATTATCAATGAATGCATTTGTTAGCTCATTTCGAAGTTGCTCACTGTCCAAGAATGGATAGTATTATTACAAAAAAATAACTTTACTGAAGGAAAAGACGCTTGGTAAGTGGAAAACTGCTATTCATGAAATTCAATCAAATGAAAGTTTTCAAAATCTTGAAACCGATATTTCATCCGAGTCATTTCTGTGGCAAAATTTTTAAAAGAAACATCTTTCAAATAATTCTGATCCTGAAAGTTCATTCATGGCAATTGATGCAGTTTTCAATAGTCTCTTCATATATAACACGGCATATTACTTCGTATATCTACTATTTCTATCACTACGGTATATTAATTGCCATATGATTCCGCGTTGTTGAGTAAAAACTGCATTTTGATATCGTGAACCGTTTAAAAGTAAAAGGGAGTGGACAAGAGTTGATGGGACATTCTCTGTAATGGTAAATCTGCAGCTTCACTAATTGTTTCAAAAGAAAACAAGAACAACAAAAACACACACACAACTCGCTATTTCCCACAACGTTACGGCGACGAGGCGAAATTGTTTTACGGAGCGTGGCGTGGACGTAGAAGTGTGCGCATATTGTTGGCCTCTATTGTCTGACTACCCGGTGCGAGAGAGATGGTGCGCGCCCCCTTGTGCGCATGCGCCACAGACAGCTGGGTTGTGTTCGCAAACAGACTCCCCGCTCAGCTAGCGGCCTTGTGGAGTCCCTCCCCTGTAAGAGGGGAAAACAAATCGAAAACATTTAATGGTCTTTGTCGATTCAATGAAAAAAAAATAATACTGAAAAACTAGCACTCATGATGCCAGGTTTTGTTGAAAAATAATTTGTGTTGTCAAATAGTATACATAGACTTTCCCCAAATATCATTCAGAATCATCATACCTCAAAAACACTATTACTTGTGATGTGAAAATCAGATACAGTAAAACGTCGATAATTCAAATTCCGTGAGGACCCTTACGTATGCATGCCACTTGCACCAATTTTCGAAATGAACCATTAAAGGGCTTGCAGACGTCTTCAACGTAAAAAAATCACTCCAAATTTGTCCATAAATCACTCTGATGATTGCAGAATAATTATTTTCTGTAATCTGTAGATTTAATAAAATTATTAAGCCATGACGACGCTTTGAAACAAAGAGTATGTACATACACTATTCCCTTCACGGATTTTTTTGTGTCATAATTGAGTTTGAGTTATCGACGGTTTAGATGTTCGACGCCTGAATTATTGACTTTATTTTGAAATGGGCACCATACATAATAAAGCGTACTTCACAAAATACTATATCAAAATTACTAATGTAGAATAGTGTTTGGAATTTGAATGTACCCTTTACTTAGGAAAAGGGTCTCAGCCCTTTGATCATTTTAATTATGCACTGGCCTGCAAGAATCTGATTGGGTGAGAAAATACGTTAAATGTCCAATATTAAGAGTTTTTAAATTTATTTTCTATAATTTATTATAATTCCAATGAATTGAGAAATAAAATTAGGTATTTAGAGAATACTGTAAACTTCACATACTTGGTCATATTCTCATTTGCTCTACTATAGATGGTCCCATTGTAACCCAAAACTCGATGTGTCGAGCTACAGATCCTTAAAATCCGAGTAGCTTCATCGTGTAGTGTAATTGCGTCAAAAAATCCAAAATCGGCCGAAAACAGCAAAAAATGAATAATATATGAAGCTATCCCAATACGTTCGGCCAACGTAAAAGATCCCTACTACAACCAAACAAAGTTACTTTCCAATAATTTCAAAATACTCTAAATTGTTGAACAAGTAAAATTACGAGTATACATTTTTAAGGTCAATGGGTAAGAAGGCCCAGAAAGGTAGTGGGCTCTCTTTTGTGCCTCTAGTGGGTGTTTTCGATTGCACACGCCTATGAACTTTGTTCATTCAGACACATGGAGTGTCGCATGCATCCAAATTTCTTCGTCAAAAGACCGCCTTTTTTTACGAGAGTAAGTGGATTCAGTGGGGAAATGTTTATAATTTTCAAAACTTCATATCTTCCAACAGAATATGAATTTATATCCCTTTTCTTAGTGTTATAAAATGCATCATTTGAATGCTGTAATGAATACGAAACCTGATGGTGTCTACTCTTCCCTTTACAGGAAAGCAGCTATAATTTTTCTGACGATATTCTCCCATGTTGGGATATCCCAAATAAAACGATTTACAATTTTTTGAAAAAAATGTTAGGATATCTGTTAAAATTATTCAACAACCATTTACCAAAGAAACCTTGCACTGACATCATAACCAAAACTAAATCCCTATTCAGCTATTTTCCGAATGCCTCCGTATCCCTTTGTATTATCATTACGAAAATCTTTAGTAATAAACATACGGTTTGTAATTCTTCTGCTTTAGCTGCCTGAGATGCAGTAAATGATCACGTATTAATACTAGATTCCATACACTGAATGCAAGATCGCTTAGATTACACTGTTAAAAAGTGAAATCAGTAGGCATCTACATAATCTGGGGGGCACTGCTTAGTACTGTGTATTATGCAGCCTTCATCAGATTAATGGCCACCATTTTAGCACGTAGCACAGTTGTGCCTGTTTGATGATAAATGACATTTGAGGCGCAGGAGGTCATTGGAAGAAAAAAAAAGGAATGTTTTAGTTAAGTGCTATACAGAGCACTGTTTTTAATAACTATGCATATTTGCCCATGGCCACAATAAAGACATATGCACAAGAAATATAATGTCTCAAGAGTATTTAACTTATATCTGAGAAAATTCTGTACACAAGTACATGAACCAAAGGCTACATACACTTGTTGCTAGATTACAACTTAATCAGATGGTTTCCAACATGATAAAATTAAACGCTGAAGCAGAAGTGATGCTAGAGACAACACTAACTAGAGAAAAAAACTCTAATTTGTGAATTTTCCATGTTTTTGAAAAAATAGTAAGATTTTGATATAAAAGTGTTGCAAAAAAAAAATATTCTGGCACATAAAATAACATGAACTTCATGCATAAAATGCACATTTATTGTAATACATCATGTTTATTTCTGGGTTTGTAGAACACTAATCACACCATTTCTGTTTCAGTTTTCAACACAATTTATCTGACATGATCTTTCATCAGTCTTGACAATGTCAGAAGCAACTACAAGTACCTTGGACATACTTATTTCCAATAACAGTTTTCTTTTGTTAATGACAAGTGTGATATGCCTTTCATAAATGGGATATGTAAGGTTGGGAAGGAATTCCTCACACATGTAAATTGACCATGATACACACTTTCAATTTCTCTTATCAGTAATTTTAGAAATGAACAAGATATAATTTAAACTCTGGTTGTTTTCCTACACAATGCCATCTTTACAATGAAACAACACACTGACTCAAAGCTTGTTCAGTCTTATTTCTTTTGATACAGATTCTTGCAATTCATTCAGTGGTATTGGTTGAGGTATTAAGAAATCCAATCATCCAACATCTCGAGATACAGCAACTACTATTTACAGTATTTGCCCTGATTTTCTTCTAAAAAGAGATCATGGCACCAGTCCACAGACACTGAACAATGTTATTATTTCAATGTAAGTCAGTTACCTACATGAGATGAAACTAAAATATTTGAGTCTCACCAATGATTCATCTGTCTCACAAAAATTCCTTTCCTGTCACATCAACCTCAATGATTCTCTATACTTGTTAAGTCTGTTCATCTCATTTGATACAAGAAATAATCCATATGTTAATATTGTATACCATATTCAATTCATTATTGAAAATTATACAAAAACCATCAACAAGAAGACTACACCAAGAGCTCAAATAAGAATTCCGATTATATAACTGAACATATTTCAGCATAAATTTGAACAAATGTTTATACAGTTTAATGTAATGAAAACCTGCAGAGCGATTTTAAACAAAAAGTTATTCCAAAAAAAGGCAAATCAATACTGATATACTACAATTTTTATCTTCAATTTGCAGCTATGCTTAAAACACTGAAAAATATATATTAAGAGTGAAAGATAAACGATAAATGTAATGTTAGATTTGTTTCTACTAGTGTTCTTTCAATATAAATATTTATTCAAGCAAATTATATGGTCATAAACTATCTATCTATAAAAAATTATTGGATTTTTAGAGGAAATAAATTATTCATACACTTTCAAATCACTAGCACATGAACATGGCAAACTTGTAAACAACGCAAAAATTGTACAAATTCAGTGACATAGCTGTGCCACTATAAGAAATCAATGAAAGCATATCATATTGCTGGAATTTACATTTCACATTAATTCTCCTCTTGATTGACAGGTATATTTTTCATTTGGTTTGTGCTTCAATTTAAAACACTTTTGAGAGAATGTTATAAATTTGAAGGTAGTACTACATACTGAAGATGACAGAAGATATAAATTTCCTATGTGTAACAGTTTTTTAACTATGTAATATGATATCTTAGACTTCATTTCTACATCAACAAGACAACTATGAGAGGTTAACATGAAAATTATTTCTTTTGATTAAAATCCTGAATAGTCTTTCCAGTTAACATGAATATAATGTAAATTTACTATATAATTTATTTGATTGTTCTATAAAATAGTATATACAGGAAGATAAAAATGAGTGTTTCAGAAGAAATGTGTATACAGGTTAATTTTACCAAAAACAATACCTGGTGATGAAAATCATTGCTCACGTTTTTTTTTTTAAATCAACGGGGTAGGTGGGTTACAATGCGTCATAAACGAGTAAATGAAGGCACCTGGGAATAAGCTAATATTATCACGAATTATGTATTATAAGAGATGAAAATCTCATCATTGAGTACATGATATAAATACATCGCTTTTATGACGCCTACGTTACGTCTGAAGAAGCAACATCTACAAACAGAAGCGGAACACTCACCGTCGTGTATAATGACGTTCTGAAATTTGGAAATCCAATCCATCTTCATCACATTAAGATGGTGAATGTAGTATAATCTGATACACTTCCGCAGGCTACATCACGAAAACTAGAACTGTCGATTCAAACAGAAGAGCTTTCGATCACGCAAATTCGCATCACCAGATCGGAAGCGCGATCGTCGACGCAGGAAATTGCATGTTTCTTTAAGGGTTCTAGAATCGGCAGACACAACGTTGATTCAGAAGCAGGGGCATTATAATTTCATTTCGTTTATTGAAAAAGGGAAATCACGGCTTAATATGATGGCTAACAAAAGGTATATGCGCTTATTCTCGATTGAGCAGGCCGCGCCACATTTTGTTTATTCTTTGCATAAAACACAGAAAGCCACCAATGGCACCGAGGTCGGTTTTGCCAACATGATGCACTACTACCGACATTGCCAAATGAAGAACAGAAAATTACTTTCCTTGCCACTACCACACTAAAATGAAACCTGGTTCACATTTCCTCATAGTCAATCGAAATTCATCTTCATTAAAGGAAATTAAGAGGAAATAATCTATCACGAGATATAAATGTCCACTTATATATAACTAATATAACAAGAAAGAAAATGTACACAATGAGATGAAAAGATGACTAGTCAAATTACTTATTGAATAATAGCCTGATGCAAGTTACTTGTATCATTATATGAAGAAACAAAATAAAAGTGCAAATATCAGATTGAGAAGTAATATTCTTCCAATGTATAACTACTTTCGTCTAAATCAGAACTGTACAAAACTAGGGAAATGTTTTCCTCTGAAAATAAATAATGTGCATAGTGAAAAATTAAACACCCTTAAATGATTTGTACTCATGAAAATTCATGTCATAATACCAAATTAATTTTTCATTATACATATTGAGCCTCATTAATAACTCTGGTTTTATTAACTGCAACAATAATCAAACTACACTACTAAACTTACATGGTATGAACCCTCATTATACAAACAAACAAAATATTACATTTTGAAAAACTTTCCTTAGAATAGAAATATAAAAAAAAATAATGCTCATGTTTGCATAAAAATTATACATATTACTACAATGAAATCGTAATTACAGATACATTTTCTTAATACTAAAATTAAAATATGTGAAAAATGTACACGATATGTATTAACTTTAGAAAATATAACAATATATTTGCTGTGAAGTCTCAGTGAGATGTATTTTCTCTTATTATTTCAACAAAAATAATTACAAAGTAAGGTTCTGTCACAAAATTTTTGTGATGCCAGTACAATGAGGGAATATGAATACTCATTACTTACGTATTTCATAGAGCTCCTAGAAAATACACTGAACAATGTAGAGTAAGTGGTCCATGGATCATTTACAAACATACATACAAAGAATTTTCTCTCTAATTTATGGAGAAAATACCCTAAGGCTTCTCAGTAAGGTAGCAAGTACACTGGCCAAGTTCTCTGCTGTTTGAAGCAAAAGTGACTCAGCTACTTCATTTGCCCCAAGTGCAGTACTGGCCGTCTCTCTGAACACAGAAATAACATCTCGCACCTTAAGCACCAGATTCCTAGTTTGTAAAGGTGCTGTTGTGTGAGCAGTAGCCTCAGCAGCTAATTCTGCAAGCTGTGTAAGGTGACCAAGGCAGGTAACTAGATTAATGGGCAACTCCTGCTCAGCATTGTCTGTCACACTTTTCACAAACAGCTTAGAAGCAGTCACTAGTTGCCGAGCTTCATTAGTCAACTTGTCTTTGGATACTTGAAATTTTGCTTCATCCATACACACTCCTCCTCCCGCAGCCTGGGCTTTCGAGCACTGGTTTGCAACTGCATCCAATTTCTCCAACAAACCTACAATGGTGGCATTTGATTTGGCCAGTAAAATTTCTCGGCTGGACTGGGTTTGGCCAGAGCTTCCAGAACGAGAAATTATGTGTCCATTTCGTACAGGGGATGAATTGTTGAGTCCTGGTTTGGGACTGGTGTCAGGTCTGATCCCCTTTGGGACAGGAACAGGGCTTCGTAGAGCAGATCTCTTCAGCACATCCTATAGAACCATCCATTATGTAAAAGTTTTATTGAAAGAATTAATTTGCAAGAATGAGCAAAAGTGAGAATTTCTCCTTAGACATGTTTTGTTCCATTAAATATCAGAAAACAAAACAATTATGACACAAGAAAATTTTGAGTACATTAATCTTGTAGCTGATATCACTATATGAATTTTGACAATCAACAATTAAAAAGAGAAATGAGTATTCCTTAATAAAGGTACACTTGCTGCTGCACTATACACATTTGAGTCTGTTGATGCAAAGACTTCTTATATTTGCAGAACAAATAAATAAATAAAATAATAACTGGAGAGAAACACTCTTGCTCGAAATAATTGTGTTCTTGGAACGTGGATGAAGACACACCACAGAACACTTGTTCTTGCTGTTCATTGTAATCAATATAGAAGTATCAGCAGACACAAGAGAACTTGCAAACTTTTATAAGGAAATCTTGTACTTGATCAAGTGACTCACCTGAGATGGCACAGGAGGAAGAGGAGGCTTTTTTGGAGGCAGCCAAGCATTTGGGGGGGTCTGGTATTCACTGCGGGGAGGCAGTGTTGGAGGTGGAACTTCTATACCCAACCCGTTTTCATGACCCCCGGATCCCACAGAATTACTTCTTTGGTGCAATGTTGCCTCCAAACTCCCACTACCCCTTCTCAGGGTGGCAAAGTGGTGTTCTGATTTAGGAGGACGCGCTGGGGGCTTGGACAGGTCTTGCCCATTCCTTGGTGGTGGCTGAATCACTGGCATGCTACCTGCAGAGCTTTTCTCTGGGCTCTCACGGTACTTCCCACAGCAAGAAAATGCACCTCCTTTACGGGGAAGGGTGGAGTACTCTATTACGGGTTTTGCACTCCCACCTGATGACTGAGAAACAGATGCATTCCCAAAGCCATTTCTTAACGTGCTTTTTTCTGCTGCCAACTTTTTATTTGAATTTGGATTTGCAACATGAGCAGCATCCACCTGTAAAATATGCATTTTTAGTATTAATGAATGTCATTTTTTTATACACATTGAAGATGGAAAGTTTTCTTACATAGATATACATTAAAACAGAATTAAAATATCTGAAATATTTTTCACTTCAATATTAACTAACATATCCTCAGACAACATGATTTTAAAAGATATATTTCAAAAGACATATCAATATTTTGAAAGTGAAGAGACCTAAATCTATGAGATCTATCCTGAAATAGTGTGATAATAAGATTTTATTTTATTGTTATAAATTAGGAGAATAATGAAATTTAGTTCCAAAATAATTTATTGTTTTTAAATTGCAATCTATTACTGAAAAATATTTTTTTTAAATCTTCAAAATGATTGGAAATGAAAAACTAAAAATTTAGCTAAAAAATTAATAATCATGTTTCTTTTGTATTAAAATGTCCTTTGAAAGTTACGTTAAAGGTGATGATATTTATAAACATGATACTTGAATTAAGAAAAATTGCAATTAAGTATTAAGTTCACTAAGAATAATATTTTAATGTAATATATTTAAAGAGTACAACTAGTCCTTTATTCTCATTTTCATTGAAAAAGTTTGGATTGTTTTGAGAAAATGACATTTGAGCATTTCACTCAAAATTGCATGAAAGCGGCTAATATTTTTAAACAAATTTACATGACATTAACTAAAGAATTAATTGTGGAGAACAAATTTACTTTGAAGAAAAAATCTCTATCTTCAATAATATAGTTGTAGGAGAGGGGGGTAAAACAATTTTACAATTTTGCAATTTTCAAAACTGTAGAGTTAGCAGTGTAAATGGCCCTATGTCATCTTTTTAAGTGTATTTCACACTACTCATACAATAAATTTAAAGCAAAAATTTGGAGCCATATTTGTGAAAATGTTCCATGTAAATTACACCCAAAACTTAATGAATCATTCTCAGACAGACAAATGTGTTGAAAAAAATACACTTTTCCGGTATCATGTGTTTTTCCACAAAACCTGAATTTCCATTCAAATCTTGAAAACAATTTTCTTCAGCATTACATAACTTTCTTTGCACTATAAATACAACCACATGTAAATTTACATGTATGAGAAAGTAACAACATATGATATTGAACAGTTTGGTAATGAAAAAGACTGTTTTTTGTAGTACTATTAATCCACCACTGGCTGCAATTTTTGAAAATGTATTTACATATCAATATAACAGATATGGTTGAATAGGTATTTTTTCAAACACTTTATAGTAGCATTCAGTAGTATGATTGCACCACATAAATGTTCTATCAAATTCCAGCTGCTCATGGGGAGTCATTGACCAGCTTTACACTAGAAAGAGATGACATGATCTGCGTGAGTGTAGGCTTCCGCGGCCGGAGTTAGTATTTACTAGGCTGTCCGGGTGACACCGCGTCCATGACATGGCCATAATGCATCACGCCCCGAGGAAGGTCGCAGAACGGCAACTGAAATGTCAGCACCTTTGCCATGGACGCGGCATCACCCGGACAGCCTAGTAAAGACATGATCTGCACCAATCTATGGTTATCTTAACTTTCAGTACTCAGACAATACTCAGAGAAGGCTACATGGCTTTCTACAGAGATGCCTAGAAGCTGTTCTTGATCTTAAAAGATGAATAAAACTTGTTATAAATCAGCTGGAACTTGAAACAGGTGCAGTAAGTACTTCTGATCACTGCTGTTTTAGAATATCTTAAATGGGAACTTAAAACACCTAAAGAACAATAATTCCAGTACACATTCATTTTGCTTCAAATAATAAATAGTATGTATCCAGTCAATTCTTACTTCTGATGCATCCACTTCATTTCCTCCAGGAGGCGGAGGGGGAATGATGAATGACATAATTTCTTCAGGAGTAAGTTCTACTGAAGGTGCTGTCTGCTGGGTTGGAGGTGGTACAGTAACTGTAGCAAGGAAGGCTTCAAAGTCAAGATTGAGATCCAGTCCAGCTAACTGTTGGTCCACCTCTGCTGATGCAGAAGATACTGCATGATGGCCCAGATTTTTAACAAATTCTTGGGCCAATAAGCCATCTGTAAATTAATTCAATAATTTTTTGTTAAAAGTCAAAGCATTAATATGTAACTTACATCTTATATAATGCATCTTACTGGTAATTCTCTCTTCTTGAGAAAGCATCGCTTTTACAAGAATAAAAAAGTCTAATACTTGTTATACAATGAATTTTCAAAGAATTCCATTTAAATGTTGAGTTTGCTAGAAAATTCTGCCATTCCTCAGAACAAAAATTACTGAATAATATCTGATTTTTTTTTATAAAAAAACATAACAACAATATACAAACACTAAAACTGTATGTGATATATGAGGAAGAAGAAGAATCTAGATATGTTTTCTTAAGCTTCAGAATCCCTACGTCCTCCTTTAAGATACATTGATTAGATCCTAATTATGAATAAGAATTCCATTAAGCTTGATTTGCAACATTTGAAAACTATACATTTTCACTCCGAAGTAAAAAAACTTATTTGCAAAGACAAATAAACTACAGATTTTGATTTGAATGATTTCACAGAATTAATGACAAGATATTCCCCAAACCCTCTTCCTGCTGCAAATAGAAAAGAAAAAATTCAACAAAATGTATACATAGTGAAGTTACATTTGTTATTCAGAAGTAAAACAAGAGGCTATATTAGCATTTACTCATGAGAAAATGGACAAAAAACCTGATTAAAATGTATGCCATTGATTCAAAAGCTGAATTACAATAATTGTTACAGGCCTATTTAGCCTTTTGAAAATATATAATACAAATGAATGCTATTCAAATAATGTATTTCTATCTTTGCGGAAAAACAAACAAACAAACAAAACAAGGAAAGAAAAAAACAAACAAAAAAAAAACAACACATTAATTAAAATGTGTTCCAAAGACATTGCTTGGTTTGCCTCTTGTTATTTCTCATAATTTAGAACTGATAGAAAAATGTTTACGATTCAATAAGGCTGAAATGTTTGCTGAAGGTCATATGGGCTATGGACAACAAATCTGGCACTAGTATTCCACAAGCCAAAATCAAAATCAATGAAGTTTTAGACATATCACTTGTATGTCTTAAACACACAATGGTGTGAATACATATTAATATACATGATAATTAATATTAAGTAAATAGATGGATTTGTAGTGGTGCAGAAGAATGTACAGACTATAATTCCTTAAGAGAATCTCCAAAATGAAATACTAATGCATAAATACTAAAATGCAGTTCATAGCAATACACAAGAGAAATAATGGAAAGGAAGAAGGAAATACAAGTAGAAAGTTGAAAGGAAGAGCAAGAGAAGTTTACCAAGTAACAAATCCTGTCCTAAGACTGTACCATTAGAGAAATCCCAGTTTGGTCCATTAGGCATGCTTCTCAGCTGTGCCATTTGAAGTTCAGTTTCAAGAGGAGAATGATCAGCAAATGGTGTGGGAGGCATACTAAGTTGTGGTGGTAGTCCATATACTCCATCCTGAATAACAAGGAAAATTTCAAATTCACCCACAATATATTATTGTTAATTGAAGAAAGAACAAATTATTTTAGTATTCACTGCTTGACAGAATTTGCCACTATTTATTTAGAGTCTATAGGAGTTTCAGGAAATCATTGTATGAAATGAAATTGTAAAGAATAATTAAACAATTTGCCAAAAGTTGTAAATAATAATAATAATAATAATAATAATAATAATAATAATAATAATAATAATAATAATAATAATAACCATGGGAACAATAATAGCAATAGAAACCATAATGACACCATATCAATAATTATAATACCAATACATTTTCCAACAGGATAAGAACACCTAAGGAATTCACAATGTACTACAGGAACAAAGTAAATGACAGTAGGTACCTCATCTGGTGTAATGGGTGGTGGTATCATAGTTAAATCAATGATATCTGGATCCAAGTACAAAGTTCCTTCAGCAAAGTTGTAAGGCAGAGTATTGTCTTCTTGAAGTCTTTTTAATAGATCCTGTAAAATGTCATAACAAAATTATTTCTAAAGAAATAGTATGGTGTAAAATTAAAAAAACTATAATATAATATTATAAAACAAAAATATCAATTTTATCTACACTTACTTGTAAGTTATGATCATTACTTCTGTATCCAACAGGCAAAAGATTATCTGGACTATGGAGGCCAAAACTTGAGCCACTTGGTTTCAGAACAGATGTAGAGTTGTAATTTCCATGTTCTTTTCCTAAAATGTTTATACTCACATTAATATATAATCTCACAAACAAGAGTAGAAAATGAAACAATAATGTATAAGAACACACCTGGTACAGGTCTATGAGAGGGGCTATTGGTTGGAGTACTCATTGAATCAGTATCACTTTCAGAGGGCTCATTGTCACCGAGATCTATATTTTGGACTGCAGCAGTTACCTCTTCAGGGAGTAATTTCTGACCCTGGAAAATGAAAGGAAATAAAAATTAAAGGTTTGCATAAGCAAAAATTCTGCTGAACAAAACCACACAAAATAATTTTGCAATAAGTAAGTAGGTACACTGCTCAAGAACAACAAATAAAATACACTCATACAACACTGCATTAAATCAAATATTTCTACATAAATAACCTTCACAAATACTACAATTGCATAATGTCTTTTATCAGTTTATTATGGGTGAGTTTATTATGGGGACATTCAATTTTTAAGAAATTAACTCTTTATTTGGAAATAATGCTCTCAAGCCGTGTACACTTTCCATAGAAATTGAAGCAACAGAAATTGAAGCATAGTGTGATGCTTGTGATTGTGAGGTCAATGGATATCATCACATACATGGAGCTGCCAGTGAAAGGTCTTGCAAATTACTGAATTTTTAAATATTACTTTTGTAATATTTCCCTCATCTAATGCATCCAGAGAAACATCAATTTCAGTTTTAAAGAATGAAAAGTTACTTATGGACTATAATGGAAGAAGAAAGACTAAAATACTTCACTATTTTGTACCTGGAGCAGGAAAATTTAAACAACATTCACATTGTCAAAATAACTGATGATGTTAAAAATAAAGAAAGACAGAAATTCATGTAAAATAAAAAAATGAAATACAAATATTTCATAGGTAATGGTATTTAGTGACCTCATCCTTAACTTTGTTGCCTCATGACATCATTGTGCTGACTTATGGCAGGGGTGTAGATACACATGTTACAAAACTATTTAACCCTTATGACAACACTCCCCCCTTCCCAATAAGTAAAAATGAATTACGTAACAGAGAAAATATTTTTGTATTAATTTTATTGGTGTTCTATTTTACAATGAACAATAGTTAAAGTCAAAATGAGTTGTGATGCTCCCTGCATCTAAAAATAAGAATTTTGAGTAAAGGAGATAATTTTTGAGTGAAGAAAGGATGCATAAGTGAAAAAATTTATTATTTAGAATTATTGCCGCTAATGTTGAAAAAAATTCAGTATTACTTAGCACTAAACTAACATTCTCTACTCCTATGTAGTGTAGTGTAATGGTACCTCAAAGTAGGGATTGGGCAATTATGTAATAATAACCGATTAATATTTAATTGATTTGTATATTTTATTAAATTATCATGCATTGATTAATTGTTCCAAATTTGTTGATTAATCTTATACAATAGTTTTATTTGTAAATTAATTAAGCGGTTGGTAACTTAACTTATTTTAAGAAAACCTATTACGAGAATGCAAATCATTCTCAATGTTGTCTTGTTAAATTTTTTTATTGATATTTATCTGCTTAAGTCAAATTTATTTGTTATTTGAATGAAATCAGAAAAAGCATGTTCATCAACCAAAATCTTCAAATGACGATGAAACAGATCTTCAAATGAATAATATCGAACAGAAACATAAACTGCAATCATTAGTGAGTAGAGACAATAAAAGTTAAAAGTAAAGATATACTTTCATATTTTGCTAGTCTTGAAAATTAACGTTTGTTAATTAAAATTTTCAAGTTAAAAATTGAAAAAATTAATTAGTGTGTATGTTAATGAGTACAAAAGTAATCAATTTCAATTTTTCAATTAACCTCATTAAATAATTGATTGTTGTACTTATTGCGATTAAATCGCCCATCCCTACCTCAAACCCCTTCCACCCCCTTAGCGAATAATATTCGTTATTTAAATACTGATACAGTCAATGCATTTACTCATAACTTTTTTCACAGAAATTACTGTTTGCAATATTTTTGCAATATTCATATTCTCACCTTTCAGTGAAACAACTTATAAAACTGATTTACAACTTTTTTTTCTTGAATTTGTACAACTTCCTATCAATGTTTAGAAGCATCTTGGGTCAACTGAAGACATAGAGGTAATAGATATTTTGGGGAAAGCCATACATAACATTCCTTATTCACCTGAGTGAGCAGTAGTAGGGAATCACTGTGCTTTAATTGCCCAGGAGCATCAGCATCCATTGATGACACATGAGAGCTTTCCGAGTCACTTTCTTCCCGCTCTCGCTGCTCTCGTTGTTGCTGCTGGATTTGCTGCTGCTGCTCAGTTAGGTACTGCTCTGAACTGTTTACCAATTCCTGCATCTCAGCCACTCTGCGCAACACCTACAAGAAAACAATACAAACGTTATAGACAACGCAATTACTAAAAGAAAGCTCGGATTTGGACAGGATAATTTTATTTATATCCTGTCACATAATAATTATTCATAACTATCATTCATAAAAAGTTCTCAACATTACTACTGAAGTTCAGCTAGATTTACTTATTCTTCTAGAAAGTTGAATACTAAAAACATCAATAAAAATAAAATCTTGTTCAACATTACAAATGTTTAAACTCGATTCATAGTGTTATTCCTGCAATGTCATTTTTTAATTATTTACTTATATATTTATTTCACAAGCATATTGGACAGAAGTAAGTAGCTAAATAGACTGAAGAGTGAACCTCATTGTTGACTGAATCCAAAGACTTCTTGACACGTGCAGGTAGATTGGTGAGTTTTCATGATCAATAATGATCAATATTTCATGTGATGTATAGCTTGCCGGATTAAGAACGAAAGAAAAAACAAGCAAATTGTGTTCAAATTAAAAATTTAATTGAAAATGAGAATGCAATACTTCCAAAGAATCTTCCTGAGTGAAACATAACTATTTGTGCATTTTTCATAAGGTTTTAGTTAGCTTTATGAACACAGTTCCCCATACTATTCTAGACCTCACAAAAACTAACTGAGTTTCTCCAACACTGCAGACAAGAACAGACACAGTGATGTGGTGATTTGTCTCGTAAAAAAATTATTCAAAGAATGGTCACACATTCATTATTGATGTGGTTGTGAGAAAAAAACTTGGAAAGTGTGCAATGCATATTTACATATAGCAAAGTAGCTCTTTACCAATAAATAATTTCATCAGCAAACATTCAAATGAAGTGCTAATAAATTTCATCTTACATTAAAACAAAAAATTCAAAACTTGTTTGTGAACATAATACAATAATTGATAATAGTCTTAACATTGAATTTCAATATTATACGATGAATTATATGATGAAACAATTAATCCATGACAATATAACATTAGACTAAGACAATTTTGTAGTCTTAAAAGAAAATCACATGAATTATTTTATGACGTATATAAATTGTATAACAGTTTAAAAACAGGTTTAATTTCCAATATAATACACACTATTTAAAAAAATTAAAGCACTTGAGAGAAATATAACTTTTTAAAATCATTTTTCAAATATTTATCAAAAAGTTAATTTGAAGAACAGTCTGTTACTTATTTTGTGATTTGAAAGTCATTTAATATTAATTTTGCCCTATAATAAATACTTTATGAATAAAATACATAAATATAACTCATGAAAACACAATCATTAACAACTTTTTCACATAAAAACAGTATACCTCTTCATTTCTTGCTTCTGCAAAGCCACCATTGCTTTCCAGAATTTCCATAGAAACAACACTCTGCAAATCAAAACCCATTTTATGGGTACTGGCATAATCTGCAAGTTTTTGAGCCATGACAGCTCTGCGGGTTTCTTCTGCAGTGTATCCCTCATAATCACGAGGTACACTGCCATTCATAGCAATCATTCCAGGCCTGCATGGACAATAGCATGATATATACAAAAAAGCATTTAAGCAAATTAACAGCTTCAAGAATGCAATAGGCATTTAAGCAAGCAATAAAATAAATTGTGTAACTTAGATGCATTATATGAATATTTTACATGAATAAATTAAACTATTAAATAATATTGTTCTAATAAAATTGCAGAGAAAAATTATATTACAAATTGTATTAATTGTGTTGTTTTTATGATACTTACATGTTGTTCATATTATTATCAACTCCATAAGCAGGTCTGCTAGAATTTGCAGTATCTATTACTAAAGGTTTTGTCTGTGAGGGTATGTGGCCATTTGATTTTGCCTAAAAAGAAATTATACATAAAAATATTACAGTATTACATAAGGAAGCCAAGTATAAGCGAACTTTGAAAATGAAAGATGAATAGATGTGTAAGAATACAACAGACTCACATGTTGAGGGTGATATGGTGGGGGCATTGTAAATACAGCATAATGCTGGTTATTGTCTTTTGTGGCATAGCTCCACTTAGCAGGCACTACCTGATGCTGAGAATGGTACGAAGGAGCTAAAACATAAGAAAAATTATGCATTCTATTTCTTAGCTATATATTTTAATCATGAAATAAAATATTAATCTTATATTACAAAATCTTCTGACAAATCATCTTAAACACTGTAATATTTAAACTAGGATCAGGCATGACAAATATATTTAGTATTGTTCATTACAAAAGTCAAGATGTTGTTGTTTAATTATCACACAAATTCTTTTTGTTTCACATCCTACAGAAGTCAATCACCAAAATTTTAATTTTCTATTAGTACACGTTCCATTAACTGCTAATACATGTTAGCTTCCCTCTTATCTTTTACTTGTTTATGCCAACATTGTGGATTGCTACATTCAAAAATATGAAATATATTTTTCTTAGTCTAATCTAATGTCATAATTCATCACAAAATTCATTTCAGCATAGGTCTATTTATTACAAAATTGTTTGAATCAGTGTGATTAAACTACTGTTACTTACTACTTACTCTCATTAGACTATCATAGCACTTAATTATTCAATTTTAACTATAACTTGATAATTTGGGAGAGAAGTATTATCCTACACCAGCATTCTCTCTTTAAAAGTAAACAATACTGATTAGCTCTGATGAAATAGTTTGATCATGCACACATTTTCCATACTATTATCAATATTTCTCTGCACCTATGTTTGATTTGATTCAATTTAGTATAGAAACTATCTTCATTCCCATAGATACTCAGTTAATGAAATACATATCCAGCCCTTATAATATCCCAGTTCAAATTTGAACATATAAACCACATAAATGCAAGTAATGTATTATTGAATGTAAAAAAGTAAACTAGTATTAAATATTATTTTTATGTCTTTATTAGTTAATTGTGTCCCATTAAAAAATACTGCAATGAATTCATATTCTTTTTTAATCAGCTAATTTTATGACTTTATTCATCACTGAATTACAAGTGACAATACAGTTCTTGCACCTTCATTCTCTATAGGGTTTACTGCACTTCCAAAATATTTCATACCTGTATCTTCACACCAAGCAGGATCCTTATCTTTATGAACTGCCAATGGTTTACCAACTAAAACATGATAATATCCTTGTAACACCAGCACCAATTCTTCAGCATCTCGATCCTCTAAGCTTAGTACCAACTCCTATAATAGAAATTCAAGTACCAAAATGAAATTAACTATGAAGAAAATAACACAGAGCGAATAGGTAACATTTGTTCATCTGTGTTGAATCATAGTAAATGGTTAAAGATTTTTACAATTCCTGCATAATGTCTTTATAGATATGATGTAAATTTAAAAATTGTTTTTAATTCTGAACAGAAAACTAACAGATTTGGAATAAAATGATGGTTACCTTAGAATTTATCCAGGTAAGTAAAATAAAGTTGTATAAAATGCTGAACACACTTAATTTTTAGAACAAAAGTAATTACATTTTATAAATGAAAACAAACATGTTCAGAAAAGTTATGTAATGAAAGCTCACTAATTAATTAAAAAGGTTAATTTACAATGAAATATTCCAAGAGACTGAAATAATTTTAACCACAGAGAGTGCTCACCTTCTCTTCATGGGCAGGAATGTGTATTCTCACACAGCGAGAAAGTTCATCTTCCCGAGTAACAGTGACTAGACTCATTTGTTCAATATCAGCAAGTGGTACAGGCTACAGGAAAATATTTAAGCCAATTTTAGAGATTTATTAATTCACAAAGATATTTTAATACTGTCATTAGATTTTTGCTCACCACAGTATTCCTTAAACCAGTTATCTGACTTATTCCAAATTTAGGGCTGACTAAAATAACTCTTTCCATATTGGAATCCTGCAAGACAAAAACACTGCACATATGAAAATGCTCACTAGACAAAATATTCATATATTTTAGACTATTACTGACATTTCATTTATTACAAATTTATAGTCTATTCATACTCACTCGAATGTTTGTGGAGAAACATTTTGCTCCATAACTTGGTAACTCACTGATGATATTAAGATAATATAACTTTGCCTGCAAACTAGTCAGACTTTTTTGGCCTGATGGAGAGAGATTGTGGTTGAGTTTCAAAAAATGACTAATTAATTTTCTCAACTCCTTGCGTTTCATTGTCCCCATGAGTGACACAGGGACAAATCTTTCTAATCCAAATTCTCTCCTGGGGGCAAAATCATTAATGTTACAATTCAAAACAATGTGTAAACAATACATATTTATAATTCCTCTGTACTTACTCAATTGCTTTGACAGTTACTTTTCCAGTCATATTATTGGAAATAGCATGCTGGTGAATATGCAGTGCAGCTAATCTCAGAGCTATATCATATTTTAACTCTGGGGCATACCTTTCCTGAACCACATCATTACAGCACTAAAAAAATTAATAAAATTACAAGATGAAAGCTTCAGTTCTTTCAATTCCTGCTATGTGTAATTTTAACAACGTCATTGTAAAATAAATATACTCACCTGCATATATAAATACTCAAAGGCCACAAGATCTCTTTGTGCCAAATCACAAGCATCTTTAGGCACGAAGGCAACTCTAAATAGACAACGCAAATTGTGTGAGCCAGGGCGAGCTGCTATCTGCAACATAATAAAAGAAAATTATATTCTCCTAGTAATGACCCAGATATTGTCACTGTTCTCTTAAAAAGACACAGAATTGTTAAATGTTTAAGAATTCTTTCAAATTCATTTTTAACTTTGAAATTACTGTAGATTACAGTGAAAGATTATAGTTGAAGTTTAGAATACCTGTCAGTATTGTTTGAGGACAGCATAAGGTTTGAAATTCTTCAACTTCTGAGAAATATTTGGAGATGAGCACAGTGAAAAAATAAGGTAAATTCTCATTGTTGTACTAGTTCATAATTGAATTGGAACAATTGAAGTTAATTCAAACAGTCTCAATGTTGTACTGTGCAAAAATGGTTAATATTTGCAATGAACATTTTCAGTTATAAAACATTTTGTGTGTACTTTATAAAGCACAGTGACAAAATATGACATGATTTGGTGCAATGTTTGTTCTTACGGATACTGGAGACAACCTCTAACTGCATGAACTTTTAGAAGTACACAATACAGACAGTGATTCAGTTGTCTGGGAAATCTTTGATTTTACAACCTTTGCATCTGGCAATGCTACTGATGATAGTACAGAAGAGAAAAATGTCACTATCAGAAACTTCCTGACACCTCAGAGTTGAGACAGAATATTTTAGAAATACAAATGAATAAATTGTAAAGTCTGGAGATGGTTGTGATGAACATGCTGTTTTTTGTTCTGATGCAAAAAGAAAGAGAAAAGGGTAATCAACTCAAGAAAATAAGTCTAGCAGAAAATTTTCTTCAAGCAGGCATGATATTACTATACATTTGCCTCCATGGGTAATTGATCTGATAGTGGAATATCCTAATAGACATGCTGCTTCTCGTAACCAGGAAGGTGATATTTAACATAATGTAATGAAATGTTTTTTGTCATACTTCTATTGAATGGCTATGTATGTGTGTCTAGCCGTGATATGTAGTGGTAAAATGCTTCTGATTACACAATGTTTTGATATTCAATGCAACGTCCAGGAATCATTATACTTTGGGAATCATGGCACGAAACAATTCATAATAATCCATCAGATTGAGTTATAAATTATAAACTGGCGCAACATCACTAGACAACAAAGAACAGTGTGATTCTTATCAAAGTGCTTTTCATACTTTACCTGAATAATACAAAAACCAAGATGTTTGTGGCCCACATTTCAGGGCTTGCCCATATTTCAGGTAAAGCGTTTTTCCCAAAAAATAAAGAACATGAATGTTCAACAACTAAATATTGTAAAGAAATATAATAAACTTATGGGAGGCATCTTTTCATCAAAAAAGAGCTTTTTCCACTTGTCCATCATTGAATTGATATAGCAGAGCAAAATGCTGTGCGGTGTACATAATGCCACCCATCTTTTAAAAGAACACCTGCTTCTGAAGATTGTATTATTGATAACATTTTTTTATAAAAGAAAATATGTAATGTTTTCATTTGTTATACCATTTCTTGAAATTGCATTGCAATAATAAAAAAAAAAGGATTTTGCATTATCTGGGTTGAAACTTGTTTCAAAAGAATAGTGAATAAAGATGCTTATATGTGACGTTATGTTTTTGAATTACCAGACCTCTTTAAAATATCTACCATACAAAATTTTGACCACATGTTTACAAAAAAAATGTAGCCACCCAAATAATGAACTTAATTTGAAAAATGCACATGTCAACTAAGTAATTAATACTGGAAGATGACAAAAATATTACATCCAAATTATCTGGGTTCTCAAAAGAACAGGGATGGCACCCAAACTTTTTTGTTCTACATGAAGGAAGCACATCGTAATGCCTGTGAAGCAAAGTTCCACCTTAATTCACTCACTCTTGCAAGATGTTCTTGAGGGTCCAATAGTGTGAGTTTATTCCGGCGGAGACTTTTCACATGTTCCACTACTAGTGAGAAATGCTCCATTGCCTTGATGCACAATTTCTGATGTAAGGATTCCACAACATCTCGTACCAATGTATTAGAATCATATTTAAAAGATTTGGTTTGTCCATTTTCCAGAAATACTTTTAAAACATTGGGCATGAATGGTACTGAAGAATCTCCCATGGAAAACGTTGATGGCTGAAACAATCATTGTTTGAAAACTTCACTTCACAAAATAATACTTCGCAAAATACCATCAATTTTTTACTAAATGAAGCTTACAGGAAACAATGGTGATCCATTGACAACCACACCTTCAGCAAAACGGACTCTGGAAGGATTTGATTTAAGTTTTGCTTTTTTGGCAGCACTAAGAAGAGCTGATTTTCTTGCAGACTGGAATGAAAATTAATTTTAAAAATACATTTTAAAATAATGGTTAAAATTAAATACACATAACTTTTACTACCAGTTAAAATTCAACTTGAAGGACAAACGTTATAAATTTGAATTATTGTGGATCATTATAATGAGAGCTCAGATTCTGATGACATATCATCTTTTCATTGATTCATTCTAGACATAGCTAACTTGTAAATGAACAATTATCATGGTATAAAGACGATATAAATATAAAAAAATGATTCTTTTTTTTATCATTTTTCAAATTTTAGGTAATTTTTTTAAATCTTAGCATCACGTTTGTCATTTTTATTTTATTTGTTTTTTTTCTTCTTTTTTCTTTCTTTTTTTTTTTTTTTTTTTTTTTTTTTGCTAATGTATATTCCATGAATTTACAATGTTACACTAAAGCAAACTTTATGTTATATCATCAGTTCATGATGAAATTTATTACTGCTGTGGATTCTGTTTTTTGAACTCCCAGAATTACAGGGGTCTTCGGTAACTTTCTCCACCTTTCAAAACTGGAAGATCAGTGCTAAGGATTACATTTCCTTCTAAAAGAAAGACTTTATATAAAATATAATATTTTATAAATAAATTTTATTTAAAATTGTAAAATTCATTGAATAAGTAAACATTTTCATGCAAATCTTTGAGTATTTAAAAAAAAATTAGGTCTTTTTCTCATATTTTTAGGTCATATTCCTTTTATTTTTAAGTCATTCTATAGGTCATTTTAAAAGAAGTTTAGGTCATCAGAATCCAAGCCCTGATTATAATTAAGGTATTTTACTCAAAAGGTAAAGAAAGTGAAACTTGCTACACCAAATGTGAATATAATCATTATTTGCAGTTACTACTTCCTTACAAATGCACAATTACAAGCAATTATAAATGAAGAGAAGAAACAACAGTCAAAAATATCTTAAAATTTTGACAACTTTCCAACGAAGTTACCACATAAGAAATATACCAGGAAGGAAAGATAACATATTAAGTTGACTTACATTGTCAAGAGGAGGTTGACACACAGTGAGTTGGACTGTGTCCTTGCAGGAACGTACCAGCTGAATAACATGGTCACGTGGTGCTTTCTTTACATCTTCTCCATTGATGTTTAATATTTGGTCACCTGGTTGCAATTTGTCAACACTGGGACCACCTTCTGTGACAAACCTGATACAAAAAATTGATATTGAATCTCAGCAGATTGAATATGAGAGTAAGTATTCAGGAGGTAAGAAATGTTTATTTTAAAACCATGGAGCACTAATGGGCACTAAAGAAAAAATTTTAATTGTAATTTTAATATTCAAATTACAATTAAAAAATATGTTAACATGCAAATATAATTTTGAATCAAAAAGGAACAACTTTATCTTGCAGGATTAAAGAATACACATATTCTTTAGTTACATTTGAAAAAGAAAATTTTTTTATTTCAAAACAAATTATTAATAATAAGTGTACATTGATAATAAAAAAAAAAATGTTTTCTCTATAATTTTATAAATGAATTACAATTGAATAATCTTATAAGTGATCGACCCTATTCTTTTTAATGTTAGAAACTTTAACACCATCTACAAATTCAATCTATTACCTCTTATGCCCTTTAATGTAATTGTGCAAGAGTTGTCTTTAATATTTTAATAATGGAATTGACATTTGAATAATTTACAATATGTTTATATTTATTTGTATATTTCTCTTTATTTAAATTTTACTTGTTTTTCCAAAATATTCCTGTTAATTACTTATAAGAACAGTGTGATAAGCACATATTGTAGATGTGAAGTCAGTAATAAATAGTGGAAAAATAGTTCATAAATAAAACATGGAGCACTAGTGCAGGATACAAGGGAAAGGTAAATTATAGGGGAAGAATGGGAGAGAAAGATGTAATGAAGAGGTTTAGGGATGAGAAAATAAAACCCGAAGTATGTTATAAGGCAGTGCTAACCATGCTTCTACAGAGATCATAACAAAAGAAAAAGAAAAAAAAAAGTTTAAGTCACTTTTATTTATAAAAATTCTCAGTGCAACAAAAATTACATAATTTAAATTTTCAGTAAATTCGAAAAAATAATTAAGTAATACATAAGAGACTAAAATATGATGGAAAACATTCACCATATCCATGATGAAGAAAACATCTTACCTAACAATGACAGGTTTCTCTGAACCAGCAACAAATCCAAATCCCAGTTCGGGGTGTCTGCTGAGCTCCACCTGCCTTGGTTGAGGAGGCTCCTCCGTCCAATCTTTGCGAGGATCCTCATATGTGGTTGTCTTGTTGAGGTGGCTGTTGTAAAAATGATAATTGTAAATACATTCGCAGTGATATGAAAGTGTAAACCAGCCATCACTATTCAGTTAAAATACATTTATGGATATTTCAGAAATATGACATCTAACATTAAAGAAATGTTACCAACACTTGTTTGAAAATTATGCCAATTTTCATATACATTGGATGGCGATTTTATGTGTGATTGGATTGTATCACCAATGAATTTATATTTAAGAATGAAACAAATGATGGCTGACTTACAAATAATAAAGGTATGAAATATTAAAAATGAGCTGAAGAATACAAAACAGACAAAGCATGTTTTCAAAGTACTGTAATAAATATAAATACAGATATTTCACTTTTTATTAAGGGGAAAAGGAAAAAAAAAAATTACAAATAATGATAAATATTCATAAATACCATTCCATTCATAATGTTCACTGAGGCTAAAAAAGATATTCACAATATACCTAGGTATACTAAACAAATACACAAGCTAAACACATGCATGCCATGCAAGAGGCAATAAACTTAATCAAACACATCAAGTTTTACATTAGCACAAATACACAAAACATCTACGGCGCCAGCGTACTTTTTTCTATCTGAGAAACTGTTTTTAAGCAATTTCCTTTCCAAATGCCAAATGAAAGAAAAATTTTAGCACAGGAAAAATACTCTCTGTTTCCAAAGGCATACATAAATTTTGGAATATTTATTAAAAAGAAAAAAGTATTTTCAAAAAACTTGTTTAGTGCACTAGAAATTTTATTGAAGCTTTAAAACAATACAATGTTCAAGAACTCAAAATATATATCTTTAGATTAACATTTTGTACCAATAATTAGATCAATGTAATAGCAGAAAAAGCATTTCTGTTTGTCGTAGCTTTATTAAAAGTAATAACTAGGTAAATTGAGTAATATCGCAAATAAATAGAGAGAGATACTTTTTCTGATTGTTGTCCACATTTTTCACTTATATATTCATTTCAATAACTGAAAAATAACATCTCAACAGCAAAACTATTGAAGCAAAAAAAAAATACTTAGGTACCTATTAGAAATTACATACTTTACAAGAATAATAACCAAAATTTCGTAAGGCATATTCTTTGCAAGATAAAATACAACTTCTACTTTCATAACACAGAAGGAAACAGAGAGATAAGTTTGCATAATATTCTTTTGTCGTTTCAAAACGCATCAACACTACCTTGGTCTTTGGAGGAAGAACTGCTGATTCACATTGTGATTGTTGGTGAAAGTGAGACGCCTGACGCCATCTACTCTAGACATCAAGTTTCTGAGTCCCAAACCTACAGTGACATGAATCAAGCAATCACACTGGAAACTGGCCTCTACCCCCAATTAACTTCAGCATTCTGATTCGGTCCAAGAATTACAAACATACACATAAATTTGAATAAGAACTTGAGTTTCAACATGCTGATGTAATTCTATAGAAAAATGGAACTCTTACTTAGCCCTCGTGTCCAAGTACATGGTCTTCATAGAATTAAATTTGGAGAACATACTGCCAGAAATAGAATTTAAAGCAGATTTATTCAACATAGTTTGCTTACTTGAAGAAATAGCCACCTGAAAAGGGGCAAGGTTTGAGAGTCAATAATGCTTTTGATGGGCATGTTGAATGTGAAACAAGTTGCAAAACATCTACGTTATGCAACTCATATGACACTACACAAAAGTGTGGTTCCAATGATGATCCGTGAGATTTGTTTTTTAATATGTTATATCTTAGTAGGTGACAAAATTTCCTTCAAAATTTTCATGTATTCAAAGAAAACAATATTGTAGTGCACATTTGTGATAAAAGAGTGAAAGCTTTCATAAGCAGTGCATAAGTGGCATTTACTAAAAAAAATGTATTGAAAGTGTTATTTTAACAGCGTGATCAGGTGCAAATTCAAGGATGTGCACTTTGTACAGATGTGATAAGTGTAACAGATAAGACTAATGTAGGTGTTACTTTCAATTTCCTCTGAATGTAGACCTACACTAGGGCATTACAACAGTACCTACAGTGTAAATATATATTTCAGATAAGTTTGGATGGAGTGAAAAGAAATAAAAATGCAGCAGTTTTTGTGCATTTTGGGATGTGGTATCTAAAAAGTATTATATACACAAAAAATTTAAAATTTCCAGTATTCATTTGAGTAGCTCAATAATGGAGACCAGGATTGGTGTAGAGTTGCTGTTCATGTTTGCTTATATCCAAAAATATCTTCTGCAGGAAACGAAAATGGATTTTCACTTGCCAGGGAACAATCAGACACACAACAAACACTTGGGTATTATTATGACACTACAAATTGGGTAAAATTTGTGACCAATAAATAACAACAATTTCCAACTGCTCTGTTGAAACATTTCTTAACAAGGAATTTAAGGGTTGTCATGCATTTATTATTTTCTTCTTTTTCTTTCATATTTTTGGTTTTTAGTAAGTTATATCTAATCTTAGTATATGATAACATTTTTTTTTTGTTTGTTTACCTTTTGTTGTTCAGGTTCAGTATCTAAATTTACAACTAGAGAAGGATTGATTTTGCACTTGAGTCAGAAAAAATACTTTTACACATATGACATTTACGACACAACATGAGACACACCACAAAGCAAGGTTGACACTTGAAACATGCTATGTTCAGCAAGCAACACTGTACATCATTGATTTATTACTTTTTTTCTTCATTTTTCAAAAAAATAAATACATTTTCCCCCAGAAGTTTTTAAGTCAAAAAAGTACAGGTTGATATAATAATATTCAAGTTTTGGTTTCCATAAAAAAAAAACAACTTTTCTGTAAATGTAAGATAGTCACTGCAAATTGTTTATATTTGACAATGTGTTCACTCCTCTTGTCTGAATATGCTTGATTGAAAGATACATAAAAAGGGTTGTGGAGCAAAATTAATTTAAAGGATAAATATGTTATAATTATATACCACAGTGCTAGGTGGTTTTCTTTACTTTTTTAACCTACCATGTTCCACATGCATCTACACTATTCATCACAATGTCCACAAAACCTCATAAATCCAAACCACATTCAGAGTTTTTCAGTATATCAGGCAGTTAACAATTGTCTATCCTAAAAACTATAATTAATTATGTAAGTCACATATTAGAGCTACATCTACAACTATTGTTTTAAGGGAAATACACATGAAGTATCCTACATAACTTTCATGATAGTTCCTACCAAAAAGGGGTTTAATCAAGAGATTATGGGACATTTTATCACTGTTACTAATTTAAATAATCTTTACTATTTGCTATAAAAGAACTTGAAAACTCACTTGATAAAGTACGGCTTCCCATCACTGTCAGTTGCAGGCTCCCACCCGTATGGAAATCCTCCACTTGCTTGTGACCAGGTCTCTGCGGGTGGCAGCCACGAAGAAGTCTGAGTCAGATGGCTGCAACACACAAGAGATCTTGGTTCACACATGCCTTCTACACACACAGCCCATGTGGAGTGCCGGCCTTAGAGTTGTCACAGTGAACAAGTTGGCATTTTGCCTACCGAGTGCAGTAAAAAAACTGTGGGCTGGCCTCCACAAGGTTGAGTCCAAGGTAGATATTACAGGGTAGGGACCTCAGAAGTTTCTTTTCACTATTTACAGTAAAGTTGCACATACTACCTGACAGAATATAAGGTAGATTTTATTTAAAGATAATTAAAGATCTGTAGAATCTCACATTTCTTCTAGAAAGGTTATTTCTAACTGTTCCCTAGCATCTCATTCAGTGTTTAATAATATAAAAAGTATAAAATCAAAAATAATTTTATTCAATGCAAGCAGACAGCATTTAAAACCCAATTAAGATCGTATCAAAGAGGGAACAATTTTATTTGGTTATATTCTTTACATTCCGCTGATAATTTAAATGAAATGTTTGCATAATCTTGAGTAAAGAAATGAGCAACAATCATACCACCTTTGTAAGGGGCCTAGTCTTCCGTCTAAACCATCATTCTTATCATTAGAACGTAATGTAACATTTTAGGACGGGTTTAACGAGCAAAGCTTTGAGAACTAATTTAAAAAGGCAAGTCTTGGAAAGACAAAGGACAACAGACGTGGAATTTGGAGCGTGTGCCAAGCGAGAAAAAGAGAACGGCGCAAAAAGGAGAGACGAGTCGGAAGTAGAAGGAGAAGGCAGATGTTAACGATACGCGCAGAATTTTAGACCGGTCTTCGGGCTCGTGCCAAAGCCTCCCCCTCTCATTTGTAACCGAAGCGGAGCCGAAGCGGAGCCCAAGCGGAGCCGAAGCGGAGCTCCATCGTAGATATGACACCCGCTCATTCAGTTGAGATGACAGATGCAACTACTAAACTAACGGGTCTAATGGCTTCGACGGTCGGTAAAAAACGTGTGGGAGCTTCTTGGCGGTGGGCGAGTCTTAAATGTAACGACTTAATTTGATATCTCAAGAGGTTCTTGTATTCGTATCATCATCTACTAGCTCTTTGCTTTCCTAAACTCATGTCTTGGTTTTACCTGAAATTATACATATTGATTTAAGTGCTCCTGTTGCTTTTAGTGGATTGATTGATTGAGTTACTGATTTAGTTGACTGATTGGTTAGTGATTCCAGGCGCGCCAACAGCTAAGGTCACCAGTCCTGTAAGTGTAGTGCATGCTTTATTTTAATCGCGGGAGGTGACGGTGATCTTCCCATTCTGGCTTGCGAGATCCGATGCCGACCTAACCAGGTTGCTTCCATCTCAGATTTCGCGCAGGAAGTGCACATCTCGTCTTCGTACTTCCTGCAGAGATGGATCACGTCATCAACTGACGTCACTGAAGTACCTCAGGGCGTAGGGTTCGCGTGCCGACGGCGGGCGGATTTTTGGCCCTATCTACTTTGCTACGCCGAGTTCAGTCATCATCTGGAGGAGAACTCTAACGACCGGCGGCGCCGATCGGTTTAGCTTTTCGTGGTTTTTCGACTAATACCAGTCGAATGTCGGAGCAGTATCTTAACAAACGGGTCACGGATCGCGCGCGATCTTTCCTTCTTCTTCCTACTCCTATCTTCATCTCTTACTGCGATCATTGTCCCGTACATGCAATACACATATCGGAAGAGGTGGGCTGGGGCGGTGCCCCGCTCGTGGGATATCTGGATGAAAAAAACAAACAAACACTCGCAAGCCGGCGTGTAGGTCGTCACCGAATTTCGCCATCCAGCGGCAGAAGACCATCGCCGCCTCCCGTGATTAAAAATATCACTACACTAACGGGACAAATGACCATAGCAGTTGACGAGTCCTGAAACACGAACTAACCAAACAGCAATCATTTTAGTACACAACAGTCATCCGTAGATTTTAGAAGGTGGAGAGGAAGATAGAAGAGAGGTGATGTAACTATTCGTAAGCGGTGCGAGGGAGGGCGACAGGGAAGAGGAAGGCAGCGAGATTTCGTTACTTCGCAGCAAGCAATGCAAGCAGTAGTGTTCCCGGAGAAACCGGATTCGACGCAGGCAGAGTGGGTACAAGGGAGGGAACGATGAGAAGAGAAGTCGGCGGGGATGTCAGAGAGGACGAGTAGCAAAGGCGACCATGGAACTGGCAAGGACACAGAGGGAGAGGACGGAGGGATGGCGCTGTTTGGCGGGAAGGGAAAGTGGTAGACGTTTGGTAGCTGGGTAGAGGGAGCTAGCGGGGCTGATGTGGGCGACGGGCCGATGTGCCCGGTAGGAGTTATGCAGTGGTGATGCGGTCGTTAGGAGTGATGCTGAAGGCGAGAGGCAATGCACGAGCAACGGGATAGATGTGAGCGGGCGGGGGAGATGAGAGCGGCGTGGGTGAAGTGGGGCTATGCAAGCGACAGAGGCGATGTGGGCGAAGTGGGTGGCGAGGGCGATGGAGATGGCTGGGCGGGCAGGAACAGAGTAGCCACAGGATGTGTTCATCTCAATACTAATCAGACCTCCTCAGTCTCCGACTGCCATACCTCCTGTTTTTCCCGTAAACAAAACAAAATTAGTCATTTTCGTTTTTTCGGACGCTTCGCGTCGACCGTTAATCGAGTGTTCCGCGCCACTGCTGCCGCCTGTTCCGCGCTTTATGAAGCGGAGCGCATTGTCAAGAGTGAAAGGAGATGGGAGGGTGGAGAGAGGTGGAAGGAGAGGACAGGATGCAGGAGGACGAAGCGCTGAAGACTCATTGGGGAAACCCGGAGGAGGAGTGGCAGCTACTGATGTTTCCTTACTGATTTGCCGTATTAGTTATTAGCTGAGACAAGTTTGTTAAAGGACATACTCTTGGAATGAGGCATTTTTCTCAGAACAAATGTATGAATGTTCAATAAAAAATACTTTTAATTTTAATCAATATAATTATAAAAAATAAACAAAAGAAATACGAAAATTAACAAAGTATTGAAATGGGGTTTAGGTTAAATGATACAGCTCAGTTTTTAAAGGATGTATTGCGTCTCAATACTTCCTTCTCAACCCTGAGGGATGTATTTGTCAGTCACTGGATTATCCACATGGTTTAGAGGAGATACAGAAACTTCACTTCACAGAGCAAGAGGTATGCCATAACTACTGTACAAATATTGCCTAGTTAAGCAGAGAATCGCCGCAAGCTACGGCGAAAACAACCGCAGGGAAGCGGACGGCGCTAGTTGCAGGCAGTGGGTGGAGCGCGCCGGCGCCGGACGGGGTGAGGGAAGTTTGCAAGGCGCGGTGGCCGGGGCACGGGCGGGAAGCGGGGAAGAGGCGGGGCGAGGCGGGGGCGAGGTCGTTTGGGCTTTTCTTCGGTGGCGAGAGCTGGCGATGCGTTGGTTTTCTGGTGGCTAGGCGGGGCAGCGGGCGAGCGCGAATGAGTGGGGGCGAGCGAGACGTGGCGGTTGGTGATTGTGTTTTTCTACGGTGGTGAGCTTATTTGGCGTGGCGAGGCTTGTGGCGGCGGGGCGGTGCGGCGGTGAGCGAGCGGTAGGTCGAGGCAGAGGGTCGCGCTATAGGGCGAGTCAGAGGGCAGCACGGCGAGCGGGGCTGAGGCTGCGGCGAGTCTGGTGTAGCGAGTGCGGGCGAGGCGGTATTGTGGGGTGCGGTGGAGTCGCTAAAGACGAATGGGCGCTATCTCACGGCCGGGGCCGGAGGCGGCGCGCGAGTTGCTGCCTGGACCTCGAGGCGAGGCGCCCCATGCATATTTCAGGCGGAAATCTTTCCCCGGAGGGGCCGAAAGGAGGACGCCGGACTGGCGGCGGGCGGCGGAGTGCGCAGGCAAGAGCAAAAGCTACGATGGAAGTGCAGAAGTCGCTGACTGAACCACGGCAGGCATTTCTCGAGAGCGTTTTGCCTCTCGGTGACAGATCTGCTGCAAGTAGTTTGTGCCTTCGCATAAAGAGTGAAAGCAAGAATCTGATAGGAATAAGCAATTTGAGATAATGTAGGCTAATATGTTAAGCACAGTAAAAATACTGGGTAAAAAAATACTCGTATTTTAGTCGAATTTGTAATGGAAGTAACTTAATCCTGACACCAACTTTTTCAAATGTTTGTTTCTTTCATATTTTAATTACATATATTCTGTGACAAAATATCATTGAAATTATTTCTAATGAATATACGTATTCAACGCACTATTCTTCTAAGTTAATATTGAAATTGTCACTCAAATATTTGTTAATGAATTGTTACCCCCGAGCGGGGTGACAATCGAACCCAAGTTGATTCGCGGAGGGGGTCGCAGTTCTTCATTGCTAAAAAACACAGTAACAAAGTCTTACCATGGAATCGTTTGCTTCACGGAACATTTTTCTGACATAATTGTCTCACCAAGAAGGTGACAGGGGGGAGGGGCGATAATTGAATACTTCTCTTTGTATTTATTTTTTGAAATATTTTTGCTGTTAAATTGGGCACTCTATGAGGTACTAAGACGTATACTTTTAACTTAATATACCAAGTTTTATTGTATTTGTGAGTGCTGTATTATGGTTATGTAAAATGTTAAATCATTTATAAACTAAATTTATTCGGACGTAAGAAATTAAATAAACGGAACAGTTTATCTTCACCAACTGGAAACACAGGTAATTCTTGTTAGTAGTTTGTCGGTTGGCTGGCAACGTGCTCATAAATTAATGAAAACAGAGTATGAATCAATGAATACAAGAGGTAAGGAGACGAAATGTTTCATTTCAAACGTTGTATAATACAATTTAGTAATGCCAATGAACTGAAATATACGAGAAAATTATAAGTTAATTTAGAAAAGATAATTGTAAGTTTGTAGTTCAAATGAAGTTTGTGATACGACGCGATTTGCTATGCACATATCAGTCATTGTAAATGTTTGAAACATAAGGAACAATGATAATACGCATTTTTATATATAAATAATAATGATATAATACGTATTTTTCTATGTATTGAGGGAATTAAAAAATTGCAGCTTGAATGTAAATACTTTATTGACTCATTATTGACTATGACTTACTTGACTATTTATTATTTGAAA